AGAGAGAGAGAGAGATTGGATGAGATACGCATTGCCGAAGAGGTAAGTCTCCAACACCTGGGCTGGCCTCACTCTACTTGCATCAATAGATGAGCAAAATTGAATGAATCTTCCGCTAGGACATGGAAATATACCTACTACACGTGTGTGTGTGTGTGTGTACAAGCATAATGCTACCATAGCAACCCACGGTATGGGAACCCTTACCTAGTCCCATCCTCGATCATGCACGCTCTACTGTGTAAACGCATCCACCACACATGGGTACGCCATATTTTCTTTCCTGCAGCCAACAGAGAGTCAGGAAGGGGAGAGGGAGGGAGAGAGAGGGGAGGGAGCGAATGATGGTATGACCATCATACATTGGCAATTTCGTCAATGGAGGAGGGGTGGCGCATCCCCTAAAGCGCTTTTCGCCGCTTGCGCCAGTCTCGGCTCATCAGAGGGTGGTATTCCTCTAGCTCCCAGAAGGAGAGGTGTAGGAGAAGCGATTGAACCGATGGTATACAGAGAAAGCTTATGGGTACTGAACGTACCATGTGTTCCTCGATATTAATGCCAGGGGTAGAGTCCGTGCCCTGCGCCATCGTTCAAGTCTTCAAGAAATCGCCAGTGGTCGCAGAGGCTGACAGATCAAGGGACTATCTCTGCGGACTTGGTATAGACTCGCTAAGTAGCGTGCACTTCCACCAGCGAGGTGGGAGCTACCAGGAGGCAATATCCAACACCCGACACAGGCTATGGTGGGTAGAATTCCGCACACAACACTGCGTGTGAAGGAGGAGGTAGAGAGGGAGGAGTATAGAGGAAGGAGATGAACAGGAGTGGGAGGGGAAGTAGGAGATGGGGAATTGTCGAAGTCGAGAGTTTGTGAGACCAGAGCGATGAGTGGGATCGAGTCGGTTTGCGCAGAGTTCTGAGGATCCCCATCGGTAGGTCGTGTTCTTAAGTAGGCGGTAGGGTTTTTTTTTTTTGTGGAGGGAAGTAGGAGCGAGTAGGAGGGGCGGTGGAGAGGAGGGTATGGGAGGGTCAAATGTGGGGTTATTGGGGAGGGTGTTGATGATTAGCATGCTGGGGATGGTGAGTAGGTGTGGGAGGTCAGTATGCGAGGTTAGCGGGTACTGGTGGGAGTGATAGCTTAGTTCAGGGGTCTGTGTTCGTGTTCGGTCGGCGGTGGTGGTGGTATGGCAAAATGTAGCATGAGGTGGAAATGGCTCGTGCTGCGTGATCAGTTGGCTTTTGTCTTGATGTGCGGCCATGGTGGAGTGGGCTGTAGGATTTTTGTGAGGGGCTTCATTTTTTGTTTGTCATGTATGTGGCGGAGGGCATTTTTTTTGTTGTTGTTTGTGGTGTTTCTTCCTATACGAGTTGTGGTCATAAGTTTTGTCCTGGGGTTTTGTCTCTGGTGGAGGCAAAGCGCGTGCACCTTTTGACTGGTCTGTGGGTAAAGGTTGGAGTGAGGTGTATGCGGTATATCTCTGTGTGCATAGGTACGGGTCATATCTGCGGATTTCCTGCTGGGGTTTTTTGTTTGCGTCGTTTCAGCTATAAAGGCATGTGTACGTGTTTGTTTTTTTCGCGTCAGCTCCTAACGATGGGATGCCGTTTGGATGGTGACTATGTATCCCCCGCGGTCATGACCGCGAGGTCAATCTCGGCCAGCGGTTGGGATCCCGATCGCTGAGGTCGGCCCCTGAGGTTAATGCGGCCGAGAATTTCAAA